TTTTACTCAGAGTCCTATTTCTAGTCCTTGAGCAAAGGTGTTGTTTCTTTTGGGCAGTTCAATACCATCTAGATTTAGAAAAATAAAATGTTTACAACCCACACCATTTGCATTGGCTATTTTCTTTTATCTGAATGAGATAAAAACTCAGAGAATGAGCATGTTTGAAAGGAAAGCTATTATCCACAGGTACATTCAAGGCCAACACCCTTACTTCTACAAGATTCCATTCACTACTTCATCCTTTCTGAAATATGCCACAGGAAATTTGACTCATACCCTTGTCTTACACACTTTACATGCTTGTTTATACAAATTGATAGTGGAAGAAACATAATTTTCCTGGTGACCATAAAAGACAAAACAAGGATTTTTTCGATTTTCTAAGAAGCTAATAATCTCTAAAAGAAACAACGAAACCCACCTATATGCAAATGTCTATTTTGACTGAATGTGAAGAATATGAATCTGTCTAGTTTGGTTTGTATAGCTATTATTTTGTTGCTAATTTTGAAAATGGGTTGCAAACACTTACTTAATCTTAGTGCACCAATAGTTTTTCAGAGAGGAGTTATAAATCAAAGCTGGCATTGTGCATCATCATACAGATTGATGTAGAAACTGGAAAACAATATGTTTTTTTCATTTGCATTAAGTGGGCTCTAATAACAAGAGGCCATGCTAGCTCAAATGGTACCATCAATCATGTGTTAGGACTTGGTGATGGTATTTATCTTCTCCCTGGATCCAGCCAAGAGCAGTCTTTATACAAGTATTGCCATCTTTCCAGTGAGCAAAAGCATATGGCCTAGCAATATATTTAAGTTTTATAAAAGTTAGAAATTCAGATAAGGAGATATACATTCTTTAAAACTGCAAAGAACACAATGCTTTATGCAGTCTTCTGTTCCTGATAAAACTCAACCTGACCTTTAATATCTGATATGATTTATTGACTTAAAAAATACTTTACACCATTATTCTGTTAGCCATGACTGAGTATCAAAGTTAGAGAAGTTTTTGGTGTGGGAAGTTTTGTTCTTGTTTGAGATCTTAAAAACCTACATATGTAGTAGATGTTCTTCATTTTTTTCAGGTTTAATGATGAATTGAACTTCACAGCACTAATTTGTGAAGCAGAAAGTTGCCATTCTGGTCCTCTCCCTTTTGTATGTAACTTATAGCTGGTTTTCTTTTTATTTCAACATGTTTGCATAATTGCATCATATAAAAGTTAAACTTTCTGGAAGTATCAGTGGGTCACCTTTGCTGCGTCATGAAGAATAGAAGCATATTAGAAAAAAATAATCTTTCCAAAGTGTACTACATAGTAGTAGATTGTAACATCTCCTTAGAAAATTTGCTTTATTCATAATTATTTAACATTTCAAAAGCACCCCAGTATCTATAGTTAAAACTTCAGGTATCAATCTTTAGAAGGCTTGGTATAATCTTGAAATTCATTCATTCATTAAAATTTTAATTTACCAGCATTTATTGAATACCAGGAACTTTGTTAGATGCTAATGGGAAAGAATAGGAAAAGAGAGGAAACAAAGGGGAGGGGAAATAGAAAACTACTTTTTTGCAATAATTTATGTAGTTTAGATTGGCTTCTGATCTAATGGGTTTTCAGAGTCTTTACTTTCCCCCATATTTTGTTAACTTAAACTAAATCTGATATTAAAGATTTAGGAATGACTCAATTCTCCTAAAAGATTAGTCCAGGGATGGGGTTGTTGTGGATGGAGTTGTGTCCCCCACCAATGGTTTGATCTTTCCTGGGCCTGACACAGTTCAGGGTTCACCCAACATTAAGCTATTAAAGTGAATATTAACTTAGCTCTTAATAATTTTTGATTATTCATGTAAATCATTCTTGGAAAAGAAGATTGCTATGCTTTGCTTCTAAAGAAGTAAAAAGAAAGCTGGCTGAAGCTTGCTGGGCAAGCTCTCTACCACTTGAGCCATGCCATCAGTCCCTTTTTGCTTTAATTATCTCTCAGGTAAGTCAGGTGCTTTTAGCTTGGGGCTGGCCTCAGACCTCAATCATACTACTTATGGCTCTCAAAAGACTGGGCTCACAGGTGCATATAACCATGCCCAGCTTATTGTTTGAGATGGAGTCTTCCTAACTTTTTGCCTAGGCTAGCTTCAAACTTCAGTCCTCCCTTATCTCTGCTCCTGATAGCTAGGATTATAGGCAAGAACCATGGAGCCAAGCTTTAGAGTCTCTAAATTATTTAAAGCTCATAAAGTGTTTGTATATATTTATAGAGATTAATTAGTGTATTTGGTGGTGCTCTAGGCTAAGAGAAATGAGTATTGTTTGGCAAACTAGACTTTCATGTACTTTTTAAACATTGTTTTAAAAGCAGCATTAGAATGATGTATGTACTAATTATACAATAATTTCATCTTAATACAGAAGTTTGCTTATGGATCATTTTTAACTTTAAAATGATCTCTTTTTAGATTAAGTAATCATTTGTCTATTAGTGTTTATATAAAACATTGCATCTGTCACTTTTAAAATGCACCTTTTGAAATGCAGAATTAAAGTTCTCATAAATATAAAATAGCTCCTAATCAAGTTTTCATATCGCCATCAAACAGTTTTTCAGATCAGGTGTCAAAACTAAAATTGCAAGTGATATTTCTGAGACAGACTGTCTGTTAGTTTCATTCAGAATGGCAGATTCTTTCCTCCCAGAAAATTACTTTCTTTTTCCTTCTCTAAATAATAATAGACAAAATATATTCAACTCAAGTTGGCATTTCTTCAAATTTACTTAGGCTTAGCCACCTGAGAACTTCAGCTCATGGAAAGCATCAAAAAGTAACCATACCCTTTTGTTTGTCTGAAAATAGTCTTGTTAAAGGGTTTGACTAATGACAGATGACTTTCTCATTCCCTATAGAATACCCAGGCTGTTAAATACTGAAATAATGCATTTATGTAGTTTTAATTCCCATCACTCATGAATATTAATAGAAGTAATTCCTGTAAGGAATTACGGACTTCTTAGAAAATTACTTTAGCGATTTCTTTTTTCTTTCTTTCTTTCTTTCTTTCTCTCTCTCTCATTCTCATTCTCTTTCCTTCCTTCTTTCCTTTTCTTTCTTTTCTTTTTTGGCAGTACTGGGGTTTGAATTCAGGGCCTTGTGCTTGCTATGCAGGTGCTGTACCACTTGAGCCATGACCCAGCATAAGAGTTTCTTTCTGATTGCATTAATAAATTCTTATATTAAAAAAAAGAATTTTGAGTGAAGAGCTTGGGCTGTTCTTAGTTCTTTAAGTGTGAATAAGCTGTTATTTTTTAGGAGAAGATGAGATAATAGGTAAAGTAGTTTGCATTTTGCCAAATGTATAGTAGGCATTTATTGAGTGTAATTTCCATCCTAATATGCTGATTCGTAGCTCATACTGTGTAGTACAGGTAGAGATGATGCTGTCTACATCTTTGATAGGTCTTTGTATTGAGAGAGAAACAGTAACCACATATACAACCAAATTTATTAGTATTATGAGAAAAGTGATCCTATTTTACTCTGCCTTTTAAGTGAAACTTCCTGGGTATATATGTATAATTTTCACAATATCGAAAGACATCGAAATAGCAATATTAATAATAATTAACTTTAACATTTTTCAGGAAATGTTAGGGATTAAAATGGAGCTGACAGGACACTGTTTCATTCTGCTTTGTGAGCAGATGACAGAAAATTAAAAAGGGACCTGAGCTTTGCCAGGCAGAGTTTTTGTGGCCAGTGAAATGACACAGACTAAAGGAAAAAGACTGCACTTTAAACTGAGAAAAATCATTTTTTATGGTGTATTAAGAATTAATCACCCAGAAATTCCTGATATCACATTGGATATAGATGATGGCAGGTGTTATTTTATTTTTAGAAAAACCTATATATCATAAAAATCAGAAATAAAGGATGAATTTTAAAGCTAAGATGTGCTACAAAGAATAATAATGTGTAATTAGTATAGAAGGAGTAATAATAGTTCCTTGAGAAATGTTCTTTGCAGTCTAAAATATATCCTGTGTCAAATAAGAATCTATTCACACTAACAATTTGTTAATTGCAAAGGCCTCATTAGTTTAAAAGGTTCCAAATGGACAGGATTAAGCACAACTGCTTTAGTAAAATGAGTGTTTGAAAACTAAAATTTATTTTGATCACATCTGACTGATTCTAATTAGGAAGAAATGTAAAAATATTGCCTTATTTTTACTACTTGTGTGTACAGCTGTTATTGAGCCTAAGTAACTCTGTTAAATCCAAACAATTAACTATGGAGTTGGGAAGTGGAAGGAGAAAGAGGTAGAAATTACACTTCTTTAGGTTTTGCAATCACATGCAAACTAAAATCATTTACATAAAATTGGGTTTCTCCCTTCACTCAACCTGTTTTCAGTTTGTATTAATTAATCAACAGAACTTTTCATCTTTTGTCAAGATTATAATGTTATTCTTTACCATGTAAACATGAGTTAACACCAATATAAAATAATTTAGAAAAATATTTTTAAAATAATATCTTTTCTTGCTCCCTCTACTTACGTCACTTAAAAAGCCTTGGTTTTCTTTGCTAAGAACAATGTATAGTATTCTTATATTTAGCTATCTTCCTAGGTATTCAAATATCTTGAAGTCTGTCATGAATAACAAGCAGTAATTGCAACTTGTTTTTGTGGGCTTTTTCAATACTTTGACCCATACCTGTATTTTTATATTTTATTTTCAACACAATAAACTTGCTATTGTTAAAGTACAATATCTCCATTTAGAATTGGTTAGTCATTGGTGCACAGAAAACAACTCAAGTGAGTGTGTCATTTTAATTAATTCGTATCTTCACTTTGATATGTGCTAGGCACAATGCAAATGTGTTAGAGCAACAGAATCACTTTGCAAAACTAGTGGCTTTGCATTTCTGTTACTGTATTAAAGCATTTCTAACTCTTCCACTTCTCATCTTATAGGAAATAAATGACGTGGATGTACAAGAACTTGTAAGAAGGTCAATTGGAAGGTTAACAATTATTCGGCAGACATTTCCAGTACCCCAGAATATAAGTCAGCGATGTTTCCGTGGCAACCATCGAATATCTTCAACATTGTGTGATCCAAAGGATCCATTTGCTCAGAACATGGAGGTATATCATTCTCTATGCCTGGGTATTTCTTCCACAGTGCATTAGACAACTGCAAAGAGCTTTTAGAGTTTCATTAGATTCAGAATTATACATGGTAAGGTTTCTCAGCTATTCTTCTCCAGCAATTTAATCAGTCTGGTAGGGAAAGAGTGTTAAGAACCTAGGTCTTTGATCCTTTTGCTCTTATTATGGAAAACTGTCTGCTTCTTTAATAAAAACCTAATAAGTAAAGGCTTATTACTTTGCTTCCATCTAAGCATGTGGATCTATAGCATTTCTCAAGGTAGAATTCATGATGAATACTCCTAATGCCAAACTGCAAATTATTAAGCTAATAAAGTTGCTTGAATTTTCTAGCATAAAAAGGACACAAATGTTTATTCCTTTTAAAACATTAGTTTCCACTTTGAAGAACTTCAATTAAAAAAAGAAACCTACCAAAAAGTGCTATAGTATTATGCAGCTATACCCAACTCAGATTCCACATAGCTGAAACCTTCACCATTCAGAGTACAACAAAGAATCTGAAGGTACATAAAAAAAGTGAAATAGAGAACACCACATCCTTGTAGCTCACTCATAGGAATGCTCTTTCAATACTCACTTGGAGCCTATTTCATTTTCTTACAGAAAATCCTACCAGATAATTTTCCCTTTGCAGTGGAGATCTCGATCTTCCATTTGAAGGAGGTATTAGAAAAGGTAGACACACCACTAACAGCAGGGAAACATAAGGAGCATTCTAGCAAGGCAAGAGACAGGAATAAGGAAGAATCAGATTTGCTAACATGCAGCTTATCAGTGTAGAGGTTTTGCTATAACAACAGATCTGTGTGATAAAACCATTCCTAAGGGTACTGCTGAAGTACAATGCTATCATGTTAGCAAATATTTAGTCAACTGCTTAGCAGCAAGATCAAAGTCATGATCAGTTTTAGATGTCAGAAAAAAAGTGTATTTTAGAACCTTAATTCTTTAAAATGTTTACTATGGAAAGCATTTTTGTACTTAGAGATGTTCCGTCTGAACAATTTTGGAAATATAACCCTAAGAAGACTAGTTCATCTCCAATGATAGAAGATAAATAAGGTAATTTGACAAAACTACTTCATTAGAAAAATAACCCCGCAGCCTTCCTATCTTTAGTTACCTTTGAGTTTTTTGATGAATTACCATTCATCCAACCTTTCTTAATACTTAACTAACATTATAATAAGCAGTGTTGCTTTGGGACCTTTGCCCACAGAATTTTCTGCCCCTACTGGATTTTAAGTGAGTTTAGAATAAGTTACTCCCAGGAACCTGAAATCATAAAATCTCATAATATACACTATCATTGCCTTCATCATACCTACCTCAGTGCTTTGCATGTTTGTGAATATTGTGAATTTGAATGTCACTGTCAAGGTCAGCCACTCTGAAGCCTTAACAATAAGGCCTGTTCAAATTTCAGTGTCACTCTTAATAAAATGTTTATAATGGACTCTGCATATTAACTGCTCTTGAGTATAGTTCATGTGAAAATGATAGAATTCTAAGTGAAGGAGAACATGAAAGAATTTTGACTTAGAAAATTATGAAATATTAAATACTGCTTTTGCTAAGAGAAGTAGCAGGCAATGAAAGCAAAAACTTAAGAAAAATTATTGACTATGTCATTTAAGGAAAGCAGAAAGTATTTTAAAGCACATTTGCCCAACAGCATAATCCTTCCATTTCAGTTAATCAGAACAGATATTTTATTTATCTCTATATTCCTAAACTTATCTGACGTATTAAGGTTGTACAGAATTAGCACCCCTCCTTAACCCACATCTCCATCTTATTCCCCTCAAACCCACAGATGGAAGAAACCAGGACAATTACTTTTTCTTCCAGAATTTGTTACATACTAACTTCCCTCATATGTGTGACAGAATTTGACTGAATATTTAATATATAAAAGGAAAACTGACAGAAATTTTTATATGTGAAGTTTATATAATTTAAGAGTGTGAATGTAGGGCTCTTGAATTTAAAATCTTCAACTAAAAGCTAAGCATTTGATATATAGCCTTGCCTTGGTGAAAATGTTTTTCTCACTAAAGTTAGAGAAAGCAACATTTGCATCAAATTGTGATCAACAAGTTACCACTGACTGTTAATTTAAGAGAAGTGATTTCTTTATCAGAAGAACCCCTTCAACTTGGGAATCTACAAAAACAATTCAGGTAAATATGACCATATAGGCAGACCTCGGAATTCAGAAGTGCATGATCAGCAAGTTTTTGGGGGGATGATGGTACTGGAAATTGAACTCAGGGCCTAGTACTTGCCAGTAGACACTGTTGAGCTACTCCACCAGCCCTTTTTGCTTTGGTTATTTTATATGATAGGGTCTTGCTTTATGTGCAGGCCAACCTGGACCACAAACCTATTTGTGCTTTGTAGCTGAAATGACAGGTGTGTGCCACAGCCTAGTCACCGGTTGAAGTGGGAGCTTGGGCTAGTCTCGAATTGTGATTCTCCTAGTTTCTACCTCCCAAATATCTAGGATTACAGGCTTGGACCGCTGCACTTACCTAATAAATTTTAGAAAAGTAAAAGAATGCAAATATGATCCTAATGCTCTAAAATAGAATCTCAACTATAAAAATCACATGAGCAAACATAAGAAAAGCAGAGTTAGGACTCTGTAGCAATCTCTCTGGGCTTTTACCAATTTTGATGTAACTAGAAAAGGAAGTTAAGATTTAGAAAGAATTGAAAATAAATTTTACAAATCTTTAAATTGGTGCCAGAAAAACTAAAATCCAAGATTAACTGAAGTTGTAAAATAAATAATAGTAATAAAAGAACTCTCTTAACTAGAAAACAGACTCTTGAAGCAAGAAGAAAATGACTGATTTACTGGTTGGAGAAGCTGATTTTAGCTTGGCTGAAAACAGAAACATTCCAATCTTTTTCATCTGTTTTTTTCTATCTAAGAAAATAAAACTAAAAAGATTAGGGTCGAACACTTGCATAGCATGCAAAAAGCCCTGGGTTTAATCCCTAGTACTGTTGAAAACAACAACAAAAAGGTTAGAACAAAGGTCATTAAAAGAAAAGTAAACCCCTGGTTTAGTAGAAGCAGAGGTTTGGAGATTTTAGGAATATGCCTAACTGCCATAAAAAGGCCAGATAAATAATTGCTTAATTCAATCAATAAGCCAGCAGATATGATCACAATCGTAGAAATTCGAGAGAAATGCTTGGGAAGAGGACCAACATGCAAGAGATTGGTTTATTGTCAAAAATGTCAAAAGGAAGGAGAAAAGATTCTGGCAGAGTTCAATACATTAAATGTTAATATTTAGATGAACTATAAAATACATTGTTAAGTAAAAATAGCTTTGAGTACTTCCAACAAGACTATAGGGTTTGCTTAAGAAAAAACAAAGCCAAATTAAGCACTCACTAATAGGTTTTCGCGTTTGGGAGAGTATCATAAAGTTATGTTATATGATGTTTGACAAATTTTGTTAAGAAATCCGTGGGATCTGGATGTGGTAGTACATGCCTGTTAACCCAATGCTTGGGAGGCTGAGGCAGGAGGATCCTGAGTTTGAGGCTAGCTTCAACTCCATACTGAGACCCTGTCTCAAAAAAAAAAAAAAATCTTAGGGAACACGTTGAAAAATCTATCTAATTGCTACAACTCAAACATTTTCCCCAAAGGGCTCCTAAGAGTAGAAGACAGTAAACTTTCTGGTCACAGAGGAAATAAAAACTCAAAATATCTTAAAATCTCACCATTATCTTTAAAAGTTATAACATCTGAAATTTTATAAAACTAAAAATTAAAATTTGCAAACTAAGCTATTTGAATGTTTTTCAGGTCTTCAAGTGGAATTGACTTACCTACATATAACAATTAAATCTTCAAGAGGTGTTGGTATTCCTAGATTATACTTTAGATATATTCTGTAGCTTTGTCTTCTTTCTGACTGTGAGAATTATGGAACTAGGTGAATATTCAAATTGCACTGATAAATATTTCACTCTTGAAGTGAAAGGGACTTCATGGTCATCCACAAGATTCTGTCCTCAGACCTAATGTTGGCAAACCATTTATCACTACTTGAATGAAAATGAGTAAGAGGTTTATCAAAATTAAAAGACATAAAGCTATGAGACAAAGTTTTTGTTGTATTACATATTCAAAGTCAAAACTGTTAATATTGGTTGACTAAGAAACCTAACAGTTGATATTTCTCAGAGATAAAAACATACAGGTTCAAAATCAGTTACAAAAAATCTCGAAGGAAGTGTCTCTGTTTGGCAGCTGTTCAAAGCTGTAAAGTTGAAGGCAAATTTCAAGTGATCATAGAGCAAGTCAGATTTGCTGTACAACATTTTAATATAATCTTGGACTCTATGTCAGAAGCACTTTGTTAAGATGAAGAGATACAATGTCTTACACTACTGTCTGCTACTTAGATCACATCTGCATTAATGTGTCAGTTCTGGTTACTATAAAGTTTTAACAGAAGCATTGAAAAACAAGAGAAAGAGGAAAAAAGAAGTAAAATGATGAGCAGCCTAGAAACAGTATCAGACGATGAATGACAGGACAGAGGGTGTTTCAGGACAAGTGACAGATGGTGTCAAATATTGTCACATACAGGAGATGTTGCTGGAGTTCAGTGATGTCAGAGAGCAAATGTGACGGAGAAGCTAGAGAGCTACAGTGAATCAAATATAGGGTATTGGAATTTAATATTTTAAAAGTAGTATATGTTTGTAGTCAGTAAATAGTCTTGTTTATTGTGACCAGCTTAATAAGGAAGATCATCTGCACAAACTGAAGTCATCTTTTTAAATTCTGATAGATAGTTTGGGATCAAAGAATGAGTGACAAGAGGTCAATAGATGGTAGAAGAAAGGAGCATAAGAAAGAAGATGAACCTTGAAAGAGAATGCACACTTGCTTGAGAAAGGAATAATGGGGGGATAATGGGAAGCTCAGAGAACACCACTGCTGCTTCTTGACCCTGCCATGTGGAATTAGATCAGGCAGTTACTTGTTGAAAACACCTATCATGTCTTAGGTACAAAGTTCTCACCTTTAACAACAGCATAGATACTCAGATTTGATGCCTTAATATGCAAAACAGACTGTATCACGGAAGTGCCAGCTACAGACGGAACCCAGTTTGGCAGATTTCTCATGTCTTGACTTCTGTCAAACTCACCTGACTCCAATCTGGACTTTGCTTTGACCCTCTTCCTGTTCTTTCCTCTTCTTTGATTTGATGATTATTTATCTTAACCCAAGTATGTTCTAGGCTGCTGGCTAAGTCAAAAGGAGATAAAGAGTAGGGAAATAAAGACATCTCAGAAACACCCTTCAAGCAATCCATCAAAGAGAGAAGTAAAATAAGGATATGGAAATAGGAGGAAACAAGTTTGGAGCTAGGAGAGGTTGGAAAAGAGCAGATAAATGTACTTTGAGAAGTCATGAGAGAGTCAAAGATTTTTGCTGGATTGTTAGATACAAGCCCATTCATCCTTCATGTTTCTTTTACATTTTCCCTTTGGATCATCACAGTCTAATTCTTACTTGCATTTTCATTTGTGAAATACTTCTAACTTCAAGTCTCATAATTCCTTCATAGTAGATTCAGCCATTCTCTTCTACTTTCTGTAGCAATTATCAGTGTGGGGTGAGGGTGAGAATAGTCTGTCCTAATATTCACTTATGAAAAACAAATTTATCTTTCATACAGCACACAGAATAGAAAGACTAACCTTCCATTAATATTATACATATAAAATGGTGCCTAACAAACACGAATGATTAAATATTTACCTCGCATGTGAAAGAAAACTCACAAGGCATTGTTAGGAAGCTCTTATTAACAACTGCATAGCATCAAACTCTAATTATCCCAATAATTGAATCAGTACTAGTCTGTGATCTGCACAGACTATTTCATAAATTTACTTCTTGATTGATTACAACTAAATAACAATCCATAGCTTCTCCTTTGTTTTCAGCAAAAACTATGATAATAAAACACTTTAAAACCTGAGAAAATTTGAATGCTTTAAGATGACATTGATTTCCATCATTACCTTGAGTTCTCATTTCTATTTTATATCAGGTTTTCCTCTGAGAAGTAATAATATAAAATTTAACAGATCTTATTGACTTAGGATCCCTTTCAGTGTTCATGTTTTCTGAATAAACTCCAATTTCTTTGAAAAATAAGTACCTATGGTAATTAATTGATAGAAGGGATAGTAGTTCTTACAAGACTTAATTGTAAAAGTGGTAATAGACTTTAGCAAAAACTGGCTATCATTCACTTTTCAATCTGTGCAGAAAGAAAATAATAGTATGTTTACTTTAGAAGAAGAAAGCAACACTAGCAACACACATTCACAAATTTAAGTTTGTGGTATTCGTCATATGAATGAATTGTAATCAACGTGAATGCCTACATTCTTGTGTCCGTATGCTTGATCATTATAATGTTTATGAGTGATTCTGTTTTCTCCTATTTCTTCCTTATAGAATACCATAGGTACAAATGTACCCTCAGACAGCTGCTTCCCTTCTTTGCACCTATGACACTCATATATAAGATGGAGTTGATCTCAAGTTGATTAGTTGACTCCTTCTGAATAACTATCATGCAGAAATCTGACATACTCAGAAGATGTATTATTCAGTGTGCCCTCCAGTCTTAAGCCCTTAGATCCTTACCTCCTCAGAAAGAAATAAGGGCCAGTGATTTTCTGTGGTCTGACAGCCTTGCCTCTGTGGAAACTACATTTTTTTTTTCTTTTAAATCTTCCCTTTCATACCTAAATAAGCTGAAAAAGCAATTGAGGCATACAATCAGACGACTCCATTCTCAATGGCAGAATTTCCTAGGAAATGAAAAGGAAGACTGCTTAATAAATAACTCAGTAAATCAGCCATCTATGGCTTGAACAGAAGCAGCTGAGCTGACAATTTTCCCTTATTCTGGATGGTTGGCATCAGTGATTCTAATGATCACTGTCTAATGTTGTTTCAGATTTCAAACCTCTACGTATATGACACGGTGCTTCTTCTTGCTAATGCTTTTCATAAGAAGTTGGAGGACCGAAAGTGGCATAGCATGGCAAGTTTGTCATGTATCAGAAAGAATTCCAAGCCCTGGCAGGGAGGGCGTTCCATGCTGGAAACCATCAAGAAGGTAACTACTTACAAGCATGTCACACTTCTTAATTGTCATGCAAAGAAAATACAATAAATCAGTGTCAGATATCTTTTAGAAGGTTTGTTTAAAAAAAAAAAAAGAAAAGAAAGAAATCTAATATTGCTGCCAACTCTGGGCCTCAAATGGGGAAACATTAACAGTATTTAATACATTTTTTAAAAAAGGTCAGACAGAAAGACAAAATCTGTACTCATTCCTAAGGGAAGTTTATTCAGGTAAATAATTAGTAGTTGAGATATTTTTTAAATTACCCTGGTTATATCATTAGGGTTAAATATGCAAAAATTTATTTTGGTACCTGTCACAAGGTAAGAAAGTTGTTTGTTTGTGTGTTTGTTTTACAAACCATGCCATCAACCGAAAAATTCATAATAGAATTAGTGAGCTGTTCATATCAATGAGACGTACTAAGACAATGGATGTACCCCATTAGTTCTTCTTATAATAAAGTCATGGCTCATGAACAATTAGTATGGAGCACCACTCATGATCTATTTTTGTGCTTGATTACGTTCTTCTTCTTCACTGTCATTGTGCTGCCTGGCCTGGCTGTGACCTGCCTGGGCGTAGTTACCTTCCCATTCCCAGAAGGCGGTTTATGTGGTTCAGCTCTCCCTGGTGGCATAAGCACTATGCAGTTTATTAGCCTCTTTGTCATGTCATCCTTGCTGACATTTTCCGTTCGCTTTGCACAGCTCCTTGGATTTAAAATGAAATGATTAATAAAACAAACAAATTTCTCCTGTACCCTTTTCACAAAGCAGACAGCCATTTGGAAGTTTATGTTCTGTATTGTACTCATCCTTTTTATTTCCTCCTATGTTTGCCTTTCTCTTCTGAAACAAAAAGAAAAATAGCTACTCAATTGAAATGTGAATGTATTTAGAGAAGTCAGAGGGAAAAAATCCTATATATTTCACACTGGAAGTGAAATAGATGTACAAAAGACAGGCAGTGGAAGAAAGGAATCTTTCAACTGGAGGCAACCTGGATGTTTCTCTTGCTACTGTTTATGCTTTGCAAAAGAGTTGCTTTGACAAGAATTTAGGCTCTTATGAACCAAAATACCTGAGAATTAAATGTATTGACTATATTGGCAGAAAAACATTTTTCAATTGAGACATGAGTATGTCAAATAGCAATCAAGGTGTTGCCAAAATCTCATAGCTTGATCTGTGTAGAGAGCTGGCAAGTATGAATCCAAGGGAGGTTGTTGAACTCAATTCTGATCCTTCCAACTTATTAATTCATGGTTTGGCTAGGACACAGGAACCAGTCATTCTTCTGAAGCTTTCTAACAAGAGAATAATGGCTTAGGAGGTAACCCTAGGAGATACTTATTTAGTGACAGTATCAGTAGGAAGGAAAAAGAGACACCATAATATGTAGGTGTTTTTCAGGCAGAAACTCAATGTATAAAATATTGCTGGGAGAAAATTTATAATCAACAATGATTTGATACAATAATTATGAAATTTTATTTTGAGGTACAATTTGCATATTTTCCCCTACAAGTGTCTATCCCATTTTTTAAAAGAAATATACCAATTTTGTGTGTGAGAGACTAAGTTTGAATGATATGGAGAAAACAATAGTAAGTGTCCATGTTCATTATTTTTGTCTCAGATATCAAATGGTGCTTCATATAGGTGTTTTGTGTCATTCTTTTCGAATGCTGAAGCTGATGCTACCTCACACTACGAGATACTTTAAGAAAAGACTCGATTCACAGAACTCTCAGGGGCAGCAGAGTGGGTCCCAGGGGACTCAGCCTGGCTTGGGCAAAGCTGGGGAGTGGGCAGGGCCTGTTGAATGGCTACTAACAGCTGGGGCCAACAGGAAGTTCCCACCCAGGAAGGCTGGAGATTTGAGAGGCTTACAATTTCCACACATGTCAAATAAGGAGGAGCAGGATAGGTTTTCTTACCAGCCTGTCCAGTATAGGTCCAAAGGGGAAACGGAAAGTTGGACTTAAAAGAAGTTAGTAGCCACACATCACAAATGAGAACAGGCTGTAGTGATCAAATTCTTAATTACATTCAAGTTAAACGCAACAGCCAATATGAAGGTTAGGCTATATACACTTTAAACAGTTCTGTGCTGCCCCACAGCAAACAAACCAGCAAAAGAGCCAGTTTTGTCCCTGTATTAATTATATTCTCATTTCGGGGATGAGGCAAGCAACAGTTTTTAAAGTGATGCAGTTGACAAAAGTAGTATAAATGTCCAGTAAGAGAGAAGATGGCAGTTCTCCTGTTGCACTTGATTATGAAGTGGTAGAATACTCTTCAGTAATTACTGTAGGTCTGTAAGAAAGTTATTGATATTTTATATGTATATGCGTACATACATTAATACCTTTTTGGTAGTACTGAGGTTCATGCTTGCTAAGCAGGCATCTCTATCACTTGAGCTACGCCCCTAGACCTTTTTCCTTTTACTACATTTAAGATAGGGTCTTGTGCTTTTTGCCCAGGACTGGCCTGGACTGTTATCTTCCTACCTAAACCTTCTGTGTGGCTGGGATTGCCCAGCTTCTTTGTTGAGATGGGATTTTGTTAACTTTTTGCCTGTGCTGACCTTGAACTGCAATCCTCCATCTCCCAAGTAGCTGGGATTATAGGAGTGAACTATATCTGGCTCATTTTGTGTATTTTTGACTGATCAATTTTTGAAACTTAGTTACTGGTTCTTTTTGTAATTGCTGGTTCTTTATAATTTATACTCTTGTGTTTTTGAAATAGACATACCATTTTCAAATAAAATTAGAGTTGTCACTTTGATTCTAATCTTTAGTCCTTTTAAAACTTTTCTTGGTTAATTACATTAGCTTCTACTTAAAATATTATCTAACTTTTATTATAAACATCTTCTTCCTTTAATAAAAATGCCACAAGTATTATGCTATTAGGAGTATCAAGGGTATTGTTTGAAAAAAGATTTTGTGATGAAAGTATTCTGGTTTCGTTTTACTATTTTTATACTTAAAATTTCTTATTTTATTATTAACTCATGTAATCTTAAAATGCCAAGGTACAATAATGTTAGTCTAACCTCTTTTCATCAATTTTAAGGTGTAGAGAACTAAGCCTCAGAAACACTAAATGACTTAATAAGGGTTAAAGAGATAAATAATTTTAAATGAGTTTCTTGGCTTTTAATTCTGTGTTCTTTGTATCATACTATTTATACTTTTTGTTGCTTGTACAGGAGTTTTCTTTCCCCCTCCATCATTTGGTGTAGGAGTTTCTTACTCCAGTAAAAGTCACTTGAATAAAGAAAACATGCACACCTTGAAATTATGGGAATAAAAGCCATGTGTTAATGTTATGGAAGTCATATCTAAATATGATTATTTCTACAGTCTTTCATGATGCATAATTTAATTTGTTGATGTTATATAACTGAGAGCAAGTTTTCAAAATTTTAACTGAATAAGTAAAATCAGTAGAGGTTGAGCAGCTCTGGAAGAATGGGAGAGGAACTCCAAGGATGGACTCCCACCACAACTGGTTCTGAGAACCACAATTTGAAACCACTTGACTGGGACGTTTAGAAATGAATTCAAACAGTGTAGAACTAACTTCCCCATAGGTGGTGGATTAGTGCCATGTCTATGCAACATGGACAGCCTATTTTTATTTGTAGAATATTCATGTTTAAATGACAGTCATTCTCCATTGTTTCTTAGTGTCAATACCCTTGATATTGAAACAAGTTCTAAGAATTCACTCTATTCATTCATTTTTCATCATTGTTTCAACAGATGCTTACCCATGCCTATTGTGGAATGTACAGTGCAAACTAAGTTTTGGGATTACCTCCAAAAAGAAATTTAGTTCCTAGTAGTGACTATTGCTTAAGTATTCAAAAGTTTCCAGGTGCCAATGGCACAAGCATATAGTCCTAGCTACCAGGAGGAGGAGTTCAGGAGAATTGCAGTTCAGAGCCGGCCCAGGCAAATAGTTCATGAAAATACCCAATACAAAACAGGGCTGGCAGAGTGACTCAAGGTGAAGACCCTGAGTTCAAGCCCCAGTACTTAAAAATAAAAAAAAGGTATTGTCTAAGGCCACAGACAATGAAAAGGCCCAAATGTGGTGGATATGAGATTTTGTGGGACCTTAGAGAAGAGTGTTGAAAACACTCATACACCTGCCTCATGGACAAGGCACACATATCCTACCAGCTCACACTACCACATGGCCAAGCTTCTGGTCAGAAGTTGCCATGCAAAGAAGGGAGCTGCCCCACCCCATTCCTGAGAGTGTCATGCACCTAATGGAAAGCATTGCAGAATTAAAAAGGTCCACATCCTTTCCCCCTAGTAGGGATAAGTATAGACTGGCCCACTGGACCACCTGACCTACTGTTTTATTTGCCTCACAGCTTTACCTCTTACAACCAATCCTTCAACCTTTGCTTTCTTGTAGAGGCTTTCTCAAGAGCACTCAAGTAAACCACCTACATATAAGCAAATTTCCATCTCACAGCACTTTCCTGTAGAACTGGACTTAAAAATAGAAAACAGATTATTCTGAAATCACAGAAAAACAAAGGAAAACTAGAAATATCAATTATAAGTATGATCAGTTCTGTAAAAAGTGAAACACCAACTGTTCTGAAGATACGGGACTGGAGACCTTATTAAGGCTAAGAGTGACAGATAAGCAGACCTCATAGCATCTTTAGGCAACCTGAAATGTAGCAGGCTTGGGAAAGCTAAAACTATGAAGGAGGTTCCAGGTGATGGGGCACTCTGACCAACACATCTATTAGAATAAATCAAATGTACAGTGACGGGTTGATTAATTTTCCAAGTGCACAGAACACATAGAAAGAATTATTTGAACTGAAAAGACATTGAGAAAAAGGAATTTTCTGTGGGTAAATAAGACACTAAACAATTTTCAGATGAAATCAGACCTAAATTTAGAAGAATATCCTTGCCAGGCACCAGTGGCTCACACTTTTAATCCCAGCTACTTGGGAGGCTGAGATCAGGAGAACTTCATTTCGAGGCCAGTCTGGCTGGGCATATAGTTCAAGAGAGTCCATCTCCAAAATCACAGAGCAAAATGGATTGGAGGCATGGCTCAAGTGGTAGAGTGCCTGTTTTGCACTCATGAAGTCCTAGTTTAAACCCCAGCTCCCACCAAAAAGAGAAAAAGGAAAGAACGAAAGAGAGAATGTATAAATAACCTCATGTCTTATGCAAAAACCAAACAAAATTATAATTACATATTTTTTAAAAACTAGCCATTTCTTATGTTTTATACATGTTAGTGAAATAAATTCACTAGATCCTTAAATTCCTTCACATTAGCTTAGTTGATCAATTCCTGTTACATCCTTGTGGTAATAATTTTCAATACTGAATGTGGAAACATTGATAGAAAGTATCAGTTTTTATGGAATATCTTAAATCTCTAAGTACCAACACATTTCATATTAATACGTTGATACTTATTGATATTAAAGGACATATCTTGAAACATGCTGATATCTGAAACAGTATTCACTGAATGGCAAAAAATATTGAAATCACTTCAGTTTTTAAATGGTAATTTATTCATTCAACAAATATTTATTGAATACTTCCATATGGTGCACTCTGAGATCACAGAATAAGGAAGGAAAATAGAAATATCAAAAATAATTACAAGTGTGATCAGCTCTGCAAAAGGAGAAACACCAACTGTTCTAAAAATATGGGAGTGGAGGTCCCATTAAGGCTAAGAGTGACAGATAAGTGAAGCCCCTTAGGATGAGTAGGAATTAGCCAAGAAAGGAAGAAAGAGTATTCCAGGAATGAGGAAGAAAGAATTTTTCATGCAAGGAAGGTAGAAGCTCACAGGCATGCATGAAAGAGACTTTAGCTTACTTAAGCATCTCAAATAAGCCCACAGTGGCAAGAGTAGAAAAGAAACACTGGATGCCTTATTAGCTAAGAGAGTTGGACAGGGAAAAGATCCAGAAGGATTTATAAACCATGTTAAAGTTCTTAACTTTCACTGAAGGGGTAAAGTGACTCTGAAATGTGTTAAACAGGGTGGTGACAACATCACATGACCTTGTAGCAGCCAAATAGAGGATCCATTCTGCACCTGCCACTTTAGGATGGAGTGGCTGAGGGAGCATCAAGGAGAAAGCTGACACTATGTGATAGATAGAGGTAGATATCTCTAGAAGGTACTTACAGGATTGAAAAAAGCTTTAGTGATTAACAAGCTTGTGAGGAAGAGGAAGAATAAAATGGGGATCCTTAGGTTTATGCTATGGACAGCACACATTTTTACCAGGTCTCTGTTTTCAAGGTTAATCTGAGAATAGTGGCAAAAAAAATCTCAAAGGCAATGGAGCTTTCTAAGGTAAAATCAGAGGTTAAGTCTGGGGAGAAAACAAGGGGCATCACTTAAGGGTTTATGTGCTTATATTACTGACTTCTCAAGCATCCCTGACATCTTCATGAGGTCAGAGATGACTTTATACCAAAAGATCATTAAGTATATTTCATGAAGAGATACATTACAAAGCAAAAAGGTGAACAAAGTAAGTGAAGACCATTGAAAACTAAATACAAGTCCTGACTTACTGTTTTTTTGTATGTTGCTCAATGTTAAGTACACAAGATGCCATAAAGGGATGAAGATATGGCCCAGAACGGTGGTATGGGTACTGACTGGGAATACCAAGAGAACAAGAAGCAGTCTAATGCTCAAATATTTAGAACTCAGGATATAATATTTTTGCTGCCCTACTGAAACATAATCCCCTTTCCTTTTCCTAGAAATGAAGTTTGAAGACAGAAAGTTAAGATTCTGATGCAATTAGGAGATGTTACTGAGAGAAATATGTGATTGAAGACAGTAAAAGCTCATATCAAACAATGTCTGAATACCAGTGATGTAAGGAACACTTGTCAGTCAAACAGTATATACCACTTGAAGATCTTACTAATAATAAAATCCAGAACTTAACTAAATCTTTAAACTTTTAAGTGATAATTGGATGTTTTGAGATATTAATAATCAGCTAATCACAGTATCAAATTGACTTGCAAGTATTAGATGCATCCTGAATCAAAGATACACACAAGCAGGAGCACAAAGGAGTCAGAGAACAAGACACTCTAATGGATCCCCAGGTCCTTTCTCCCTACATTGGATATACACATTCTATTTCCAAGGAAGATTTTTCAGGGTTACCTTTCATAACAAGGAGCATTTATCTTGTGTGATGTGTCAATTTTTTTTTTTTACCCCATTAAGTATACATTTTCTGGGAAGCCACAATAGATTCTAGCTTTATTTACTACAGCAATTCTTTAGCCTGGGATATTCTGCCAAGGATTTTGCAAACATTAGGACTCTTCTGCCTCGCAAATACCTTTAGTCTGTGTACCCGGAGTTACAGTTACCAAGGACATTAGACTTTCTTACCCCCACCCCCATACATACTATGAAACGTAGTGAATAGATCCTAGATCTGCTGCTTTAACTCTTTTCTCCCCAGGTACTAACCAATGAGATATAATTGAGTTGGAACCTTCCAGCCATATAAATATTGATGCATATAATGAATTTTTTACAAACTCAATAAACTTTAGTTAAAAAAAATAAGACCATACCTATAATTTATAGAATTAGAAACCTCCCAAAGTTAAAAAATAAAATAATAGTAGAGGTAACAATGATGATATAATAGTAATTAAGTCCTCACCATATAAAACACTCTTGTATATTCTTCACATGTATTATACCATAATAAAGACAATAATAATAATTTGGGAAGGGTACAATTTTTCAGTATTAAAGAAATGTAGTTGAGAAGGGGATCAATAACCAGTGTAAAGATCAGTTAGAGATTAATCATGGGTCGTAACATATGTGTACACGAAAGCAATGCTAGGAATATTTCTGTATAGCTATCCCTAACTCAACTAACAGAAACGCTTTGCCTTCCTTATTATGCTTGTGTCTTCTTCAACAAAATTAGTAACAAGGGCAGAACAGGACCTGCCTGAAACTGAGGGGGGGAGGGGGGTGGGGGGAGAAATGACCAAACAATGTATGCACATGTGAATAAATGAATAATTAAAAAAAAAGAAATGTAGTGCATGAGGTATAAAGAAGTTAAGTGAATTAGTCAGGTTTACACAGCTGTTGGGATCTTTTGACATTGATAAAGACCAGGAAGTATAAACTAACCAGTCAAGAGCATAGCTCATACTTCCTAGACTTCAGAGCACAGACATATCAAAGTCAACAAGTATTTTTTTTAAAATAAAACTGGATAATAAAAGAGAAGTTGACTGATTAGGAAATAATAGTGGAGGATAAGTCTTGTTAATTGTTGCTGTTGCAAAAATAAAATAGATTAAATATTGAAATACATGATTAAGGTAAATAACTATCAATCAACAATAGTTCCTTGAACTCCTTTTATCAACTTAGCATCCCATGAGTGACTGGCAGGCACAGCTGAAGGAGAAAGAGCAAGCAGCATAATCCTAGCCCCTCAAAACAGACTAAATATGGAGTTACAGGTTATGATAAGTGAGATATATTTAAGTATCAATATCATAGAGATGATAATTGAAGCAATTTGCAAAATGAAATTATTTGTTGTCCAAATAAATGTCATTATAAGGCCAAAATTCTTAGTCAGACATATCTTTAACATTAAAATGGCTCAAATTTGATATTTATTTGTAAAATCCTACATAATATGAAGGTTGATAAACTAAAGTGAGAAAAGAATGGTAAATAAGAAAGAAAGAAGTATGACCTATATTGCCATCTGTTGGAGAAATGAACATCTGTCATGTTGAATGAAAGATGAACCTTGGAAATTCCCAGCGAATCTCAACAGCTAGCAAAACCAGTTAAGAGGAAAAACGGTTTTCAAGCCTAATTTAGCTTTCATATATATGTTCATGTTTGTCTGTGTGTGTGTGTGTGTGTGTGTGTATGTGTGTGTGTGTATGGTTGGTAAAAGTTGCCATTATGCATTAAATTTATTTTCTTAACTGATACATTAAAAACATAAATCAATACATATTAATGATGTTTGATATATATACATAGATATATATAGATATATGAGTATATACAATGTGATGTTTAAATGAAGTTAAACATATTTATCTCCCCAAACATTTATCATTTCTTTATGGTGAAAACATTCAAAATTCTTTCTTCAGGCTTTGTGAAATATATAGTACATTATTGTTGGAATTTGGAAAATGTATTTACAGAATTAGAAAACCTCCAGTAATTTTTAAATGAATTTTTAGATTCCCAGGTATAATTTTAGTACAAATTTGAGTGGAATTTATGCTGAAGCAAGGCCTACTATATTGGCAATATTTGTCTCCAGAGTACATTTTTTATGCACTCAGAAGTATCTTTCATTGTGCTATTATGTACATGCAAGTTATGAAGTATGGTGGCAAAACCTCTAGTGTGGAATTTAGCCTCAACTAACATGGAGTCATTTTGAGCAGTGATTTAACTCTTTATTCCTAAATTTCCTTGTTTATAAGATAAGTGCGTGAGATTAGATTGATTTCCAAGGTTATTTTTCTGCTTTATGTTGTTCACTTACTTAAAACTATCCTGTTAAAATGTTCATTTTAGAAAAGAAAATAGAGCTCCTAAAACTTCCTTTAATATTTTATTATCATTATTTTATTCCTTCTGAAGTTTTACATCAGTATCTGTTCTCTTCTTTAGGGTGGAGTTAATGGCTTGACTGGAGAGTTGGAATTCGCAGAAAATGGCGGTAACCCCAACGTCCACTTTGAAATTCTTGGAACTAACTATGGAGAGGAGCTTGGCCGAGGTGCTCGCAAAGTAAGTCCATACACATTTATAAATGCACATTTTTAATACAATATACAGTTTTGCTGGATTATTCTCTATGCAATAGACAAGAATGCACATTGAAATTTACATTGTAGCTTGAAGAAGAAAATGAAGAGGTAGAAATGAGGAAGAACAAGAGACAGACTGAGAGCAAGAAGCATTAAAATGATCTTAAATACTTACTGGAAGCTTTAAGCAATAAATTCTACTTATGCCTTAGAACAATTTAAAGGAAAAAGTAATCTAATGCTTGCCTAGGGAAATGGTATTATCTTTCATTCATTATAATAATTTTTATGAAGTAGTGAATTTAATATTTATGCAATGCCTAGTTGTCTGACTTTTAATTTGTGGATGCACAAAATCAGATTAAGAGCTTAGATAAATTTCATATAGTAAGACAGAAAGTCTATCGTAAAATGTGACATTATAGTATTTCAGCTTCCATATGTCATGTAATAAATAGAAAATACTTTGTAGGAAGTGAACTCTTGTTATATACTATACAGATCACTAAGAGAAGCAGCTAAGTGCCAATAAACAATGTTTTGTGAAATACTGGGACTATAACTATCTCAATCAGAAATACAAAAGCCCTTGGAGAAATGACTTTTCTCTAGTTTGATTTGCCATTTTACGTATTTTTGGTAAGAAGTAACTTAAAGTAAATGAGTTTGCATACTGAGATGATAGCTATATTAGTATCTGTATCATGGTGACTTCATAAGGAACTATTGCTGCTTCAGAAGCTGTTTCTTTCAGCATTGACCTGTAAGATGTGGAGAAACCTGGGCTGATGTAGTTAGGAGTTGTTCTTGCCAAGATAAAAGAAATTCTTAATAAAATTATAGCATATTGAAACTATCTTACTGCATTTTAATTTTTGTCTTATACTGTAGCAAAATTACATAAAGCACAGGATGGTTTAGTGAATTATTTTAAAGGAAACAACCACTATTAAGGTCAAGAAATAGAACATAGCAGACATTCTGAATGTCCTCAGATGCTTCTCCCTTATTACCTGCTGGACCTTCTTTCACAGAACTCTAACCTTTAGTCTGAATTTTATATTTATTTTGTTACATTTTAAATGCATTTTTCTCATCAGTGTTTGCATCCTTACATAATATAATTGAATTTGACCAATATTTGAATTTAACAATGGACTCACAATTTTTTCTTGCTTCTGTTCAAGGTTGTGTTATTCATCTTTGTTGGTTCTTGTTGCAATTTAATTATTTATGTTTCTGTACCATTTCCTATAATCTGAATGTGTAACAATTTACTATAGTTTGTTTCTATTTTTAGTATTCTGTAAAGTAAGCAAGGCCACTACAAGGTAGATTCTTGAACATATCTCTTGGATATATGCGTTTATACTGATGGATGAATTTGGGTACAGGAATAGAATTGTAATGCAAGAAAGCAGATCTTGAATTTTACTGGATAGCATCAAATTTGTTTTCATAGAAATCTGCCAGCTTCATATCACTAGCAAACTCTCATTGCCCCATGCTCTAAACAAATATTGGATTTGTCAGACTGCCAAAGTTTTAGTCATTTGTTGATATAATGATATATCCTTGTGGTTTCAATTTACACTTCCCTGATTATTAAAAAAAAATTGTATTATATCCTATTTTGTTTTGGCTCCTCCTATTTCTTTTTGAGTTAATTACCCATACACATTTTTTTGGACTTTTTTTTGGGGGGGTGGGGGAATATCTTTAGTTTGTTATAATTCATTCTAGAAAATATATACATATAGATAGAGATAAATACTGCATATTAGTCTTTTGTTACAGTTATATTCCAAGTATTGCTTTCCTGTCTATAGATTTTATTTTCATACCATTCATAGTACTTTCAAATTTAGCAGAATTATGAATTTTTCCCTTATGATTACTGATAGTGTTATTACAGAAATCCTTCCCTACCCACAGAGTCATAAAGATTTTGTGCTTTGTTATTTTCCTAAGGTTTTATAGTTTTTCCTTTTAAATTGACCTCTATCTACCTGGATCTTTTCTTTTCTTCCTTTTCTTTCCTTTTTCTTCCCTCCCTCCCTCCCTCATTCTTTCCCTTCCTTCCTTCTTTCCTTCCTTTCTTTTTTCCTTCTTTCCTTCCTTTCCTTTCCTTCTTTCTTTCTATTCTTTCTTTTTTTCACGGTGCTAGGTATGAACCCAGGGCATAAAGTATCATATTTGTTCTAGTGAGAATAATTTAAAACAATAAAAAACAAAATTTTAGTACACAATGGTTTTTAATAATTCCATTCACCAATGTGAACTTCACCCAGCTGAAATTATAGAGCATCTCCGTCTCTCAGGAAGTACCATTGGTCTTGTTTCCCTTCATAACAATGGAGAGTGCTTGCTTAGATGGTAAATTCATGCAAATGGGATGTGGTCATCATATATTCTTTTCTCAGTGTGTTTTAATGATATATCATTATTTTCATTAGGCAACAGTTGGGGGGTCTTTATTTGTTTATTTAATTAATATTTCTGAATAGTATTATCTTCTATGAATACAAAATGGTATCTTTAAAATTGTATTTTCTATTTATTGTTGATATATGAAAACATTTATATATACTTTATATATACGTACACATTTTATCAGTGACTAGGGATTGAATTCAGGGCTTGCTAGGTAGGCACTGTACCACTTGAGCCATGCCCCAGCCCTTTTGTTTTATTTCTCAGGTAGGGTCTCATGTCTTTATCCAGGGCTGGCCTCAGACCATGATCCTCTTACCTATGCCTCTCACATAGCTGAGATTACAGGCATATACCACAACACCCAGCTTGTTTGTTGAGATGGAGTCCCACTAACTGTTTTTCCAGGTTGGTCTCAAACTACAATCCTGATCTGTTTCCTGAGTAACAGGAATTACAGGTGTGTGACATTGCATCTGGCCCAACATTGACATTTTCTATTGATCTTATATCTAGCTGTCTTGACTAGCGTTTTTTATTGTGGTAACTTAGTAGACACCTATGTATTCACTACAGACTGTTTTAGATCTGCAATTAATGAGATTTTTGTCTCTTCTTTTGTAATTTTGTATCTTTCCTTTCTTCTTGACTTAGTGTACTTACTGGGTCCCCTAGGACAATTTTGGATGGAAGTAAGAGTAGTAGGCACCCTTAGGTTGTTATCCACCTCAGAGAAAAAGCTTTCAACATGTTACTACAATATATTTTTTTCTTTCTATTAACTTTCTTAACTTTGATCAGATTAAGGAAGAACCATCATTAATGGGATATAAATAATTTTCTCTAAAGTAAAGTTTAAGCAAGGCAGACACAGTGACTTACATCTATAATCCTAGCTACTCTGAAGGTGGAGATTGGGAGAACTGTAGTCTGAGGATAGCCCAGAAGAAAAAGTTAGTGAGATCCCCATCTTAACAAATAAGCCAAGCCTGGTGGTATGCACTGTAACCCAACTACAAGGGAGACTGCAGGTAGGAGTCCTCCCCAGGACTAAAAAAATCATCTGACCTTATCTCAAAAATAACTAAAGCAAATAAGGGCTGGGGGGTGTTGCTTAAGTGGTGGAGTGCTTACCTAGCAAGCGCCAGGTCCTGAGTTCAATCCCTAGTACCACCAAAAAAGAAAAAAAGTTTAATTTATATGTGTATAAAATTATAATTATGTATCTGTTTATATAAAAATTTAATTGCTAACATTTTGCTTAAGCTTATTACATTGGTATTATGACTGAGGTTGCCTGAAGTTGTCCTTTCTAGCAGATTTTGATATAAAGGTTATGCTGACCCAACCTAAATGAGTGAGAAGTATAAACCATCCAGAACTGTGCACACTACCAACAGATGTTCTTGCAATTTATTGTTATTAATGAGACAAATCTCAGTGGAGTACCAGTGTATTTAAATAGCAACATTAGAAAAATAAAAAAGAAGGTGAAAATGTTAACATTTGTGACAGTAATTAAATATCTCTGTGAAGACAAAGGGGAGAATTTTTAGAAGGCAAAAGGTTTAAGCATATTTGACTGCTCAAAGACCAAGCCAAGAAAGAGGAAGAGCTGAAGGTAAAGGAAGAAATTTGACCATTGATAGAAGTACAGTAGGGAAAAAAGAGAGAATTGGACCCAGAATGAGATGGTGTTTTTAACCTTAAGCTTGGTGGACGACACTTTCCGGGGGGTAAGGAAAGAATGGGTTGTTTGAAAGTTAAGTCTTCATGAAATGTAAGCACTCTGGTGTTAGGAAGCTAAAGGATGGTTACATACCAGGTTCTTTTTTTCCTGGAGAAATGGAGAGTGAGAAAAAGGCTCTCTGAAGACATTGGAAATAATGAGGACATCAGAGGTTTTGACATAGCTGCTGTGGCCAAAGGGAGAGAGACGACTAGGGAACCAGGAAGGATTGTCAGGCAGGGCTGTTGTCTTGGATGAAGTTAAAGACAAAGAATCACTGTAGCATTAATCTTAATCTTCTGGGTTGTGTATGCTTGTTCAGTAGCATTCAGCAGACTGAATAAGTTTGAATTAATATGAGCTTAGGCTTTTACTGGGTCATTGTGAATAGCTTTTGTTTTGTTCCATGTTGTTTTGATAGCAGTACAGTGAATCAATGAGGTTAAAACATACTGGTGAGGTATGGTTGAAGTGAGAAAGTATGAAATCTAAACTAGACACAGATAGCAGTGAAGACAGGAGTCTCAACAAGAGAGACAGGGTGTGGCTCAAGAAGTCTGTACACGCTGTGTCTTACTATAGGCTGAGAAAAAGAGCTTCAGAGCCAGAAAGCCTCATGCAGGGAGAAAGACATCTGAATTCATGATTCTAAGTGTGCATGCATGGTTCCAGGCATCCTCAAACCAAGCTTGGAACCATGTCAAAAGAGGGCTTCATTTAGCTTCTCGGTCTAATATGGCTCAAAGTCTGTCTAAGATCAACATAGTTTCCTAACCCCGCTCTGAATTCAAAGTCTACAATGTGCTATCCCTGCCATT